ACCTAGGTGGGACCCCTACAGGCTCCCTGATTTCTGCAGGCCCCCAGGGTCCTGGTCAGTTGATTCTCTGGGCCTTGTTCTGTGGTGCCTCTGACCCTTCTGGTTCCTCCCATCCTTCCTCCCTCTTCTCAGCAGGACTCCGGGAGCTCTGTCTAATGTTTGGGAGTCTGCATCTGCTCCCATCAGTTCCTGGATGAAGTCTCTCTGGTCTCTTTGATGACATTTCTGCTAAGCCCTGGTCTCAGAACACTTTGCAGACAGGGCAAACTGTAGGTTGAAGGTTTTGTGGCTAGGTTGATATCTCAATCCCTTCACTAGAGGTCCTGTCTGGTTACAGAATGTGGCCAGTTCAGGCTCCATGTCCCCATGACGAGGAGTCTTTGCTAGGGTTACTCTCATAGATTCTATATGGAGTTTCCATTGCACTAGATTTCTAACTCACTCCTGAAATGCACCCCAATTCCAGTAATTTCTCCTGGAATTTTCTCCCCCCCCATACACCTGATTCCTCCTCTTTCCAACTCTATCCACCCCCAGTCCATTCATGAAATTATTCTTTTTCCCCTTCCCAGGGAGATCTTGCACACTCCCCTTAAGCCCTCCTTGTTACTTGGCCTCTCTGGGTCTGTGGATTGTAGCATGATTATCTTTTACTTTATGGCTAATATCCACTTATAAGTAAGTGCATGTTATCTTTTTCTTTCTGGGTCTGGGTTACCTCACTCGGGATGATGTTTTCTAGTTCCTTCCACTTGTCTGAAAATTTCATGCTGTCATTGTTTTTAAGAGCTGACTATTGCTCCATTGTGTAATTGTACCACATTTTCTTTATCCATTCTTTGGTTGAGGGTTATCTAGGTTGTTTCTAGTCTCTGGTTATTATGGATAAAGATACTATGAACACAATTAAGCAACTATCCTTGTAACAGGATGGAGCAACCTTTGGGTATATACCCAGGAGTGGTATAGCTGGGTCTTGATTGAGATCAATTCCCAGTTTTCTGAGAAACCATCATATTTATTTCCAAAGTGGCTGTACAAGTTTGTACTCACACCAGCAGTGGAGGAGTGTTCCACTTGCTCTACATCCTTTACAGCATGAGCTGTCACTTGTGTTTTTGATCATAGCCATTCTGACAGGTGTAAGATGAAATCTCAAAGTTGTTTTGACTTGCATTTCCCTGATGGTTAAGGATGTTGAACATTTCTTTAAGTGTTTCTCAGCTATTTGAGATTCCTCTGTTGAGAATTCTCTGTTACATCTGCACCCCATTTTTACCTAATTATTTGGTTTGTTGATGTCTAGTTTCTTGAGTTCTTTATATATTTTGTATATTAGTCCCCTGTTTGATGTGTAATCGGTGAAAATCTTTTCCCATTCTGTGGACTGCCATTTTGCACTGTTGATTGTGTCCTTTACCTTACAGAAGCTTTTCAGTTTCAAGAAGTTCCATTTATTAATCGTTGATCTTAGTGCCTGTGCTACTGATGTTCTGTTCAGGAAGGTGTCTCCTGTGCCAATGCATTCAAGGCTATTCCCCACTTTCTCTTCTATCAGGTTCAGTGTATCTGGTTTTATGTTAAGGTCTTTGATCCACTTGGACTTGAGTTTTGTGCAGGGTGATGGATATGGGTCTACATACTGACATTCAGTTATACCAGGACCATTTGTTAAAGAGTATTTTTCCCCATTGTTTATTTATGGCTTCTTTATAAAAATTGGGTGTTCATAAGTATATGAATTTATGTCATGGTCTTTGATTTGATTCCAGTGATCAATGTGTCTGTTTTTATGCCAATACCATGCAGTTTTTATTACTACAGCTCTGTAGTACAGCTTGAAATAAGGGAAGGTAATACATCCAGAACTCCTTTTATTGTATAGGAGCGAGGCATTCCTAAATAGTTTTTGCATCAGAAAATTGAAACAATTCCAGGAAGTCATTGAAGATTCTCTCTGGCAATGAGAAAGTTCTTATTAATACTTAACAATCTTCTTCAGTGAGAGACCTTGATTACAAATAAGATATACTTGGAAGCTTCAAAAATTCTGACATTCAGCTGAATACAAGATGGAGCCACACCACCAACATCTTAAAAATATTTTTTTTGTGTGTAGTGTGTGTGTGTGTGTGTGTGTGTGTGTGTGTGTGTGTGTGTGTGTGTGTTTATATACAAGCAGGTATAGATGTGGAAGCACACACATATTCACCTAGTAAATGCTGGCTTTGATGGTATTACCTATGACTGGAGGACAAAGACAGGTGGATTCCCTTGGTTCCCTGGCCAACCAATCTAGCCAAATGACAAGCTCCAAGTTAGCATTAAACTCTGTCTTAAAAATAAAATAAGACTTAGGAGGTCATACTCAGAAGGGTGCGGGTCCTGAAACTGGAAGTTGAAAGCCGGAAGTGGTGTTGGAAGCCGGAAGTGGTGCTGTGAGGACATGTTCCAAGGAAGCTGCAGGCTGGCTCGGCCAAAAAATTAAAATAAATAAAATAAAATAAAATGAAAATAACATGGGGAAACAACCTCTGAGCTCCACACATGCCCACATAGGAGAGTACACCTCCACATACATCTCCAAACACAAAGCTTTCTAACCCCTATAGACAGTCCTGATCTCCCTATCCTTTTGGAGCTAACGCTACATATTTTCTGATGTATCTGTTTGTTTGTTTACTTTCTGTTCTTTTTTCTTGTAGACACACTAAGCCTATCCTAGAGTTCAATGAATAAATGTGTTAATCTACCCTTATTTCAAATGGCATATACCTTTTGATAGTTAAATATACCTTCTAAAAAATTTTGTCCCTGGATCTTTTCTTCTTTAGATACTCCTGTATATTTTTAAAGAATGCTTTGAAATACAGCTTTATTCTCCTCCTTGTCCTGCCTATACTTCCTGCCTAGCCAATGGCCAATCAGTGTTTTATTTATTGACCAATCAGCAACACATTTGACATACAGAACATCCCACAGCACTTCCCCTTTTTTAAAATTTTTCAAAAAGGAAGGTTTTAACCTTAACAAAGTAAAATTACATATAATTTGGGAATTTGGGCGTAGCTTCTCTTACTACTTCCTGCTGGAGGGGGGCGCTGTATCTTATGGGGACACAAAGAAAATTTTAGGATTATGGGATAGTCCATGAGGCCGTATTGTCTGAGCCAGTGGCCTTCAAACCATTCTGGATGTTGGATCATCTGGGCCATGGTGTCATCGGAGACCTTTCAGGGGGTCTTGGCTGGTCAAAACTGATGTATCTTAATCTGGAACAAATCCATAGCCTTTGATTTTCTGTGGGAACAAAAGCAGAGTCTCCTTTCCAAAGCAACACATCCTTACATCCAAATTTTGAAATCAAGGGACCTTTAAAATATACATTTTGGCATAACTCAACAGCTTTTGCAATTAAATGTTTTTCTGCAGTTAAAAATCCCAAAGACAACACAATCCAGATTCTCTGTGTAATATTCATCTTTACGTGGCTTATTTTTATATTAATTTTACTGTCTCTTTAAAGACTTTATTTTTTAAAACTATATGTAGCTAAAGTTTTCCTGCCTGGCCCACAGTCAGGACAAATCTTTCTCACCTGCCAGTCCCACAGCCACTCAGACCCAACCAAGTAAACACAGAGACTTATATTGGTTACAAACTGTATGGCTGTGGCAGGCTTCTTGCTCACTTTTCTTACAGCTTAAATTAATCCATTTCTATAAATCTATACCTTGCCACATGGCTCGTGGCTTACTGGCATCTTCACATGCTGTTTGTCATCAGGGCGACTGGCAGTGTCTCTCTGACTCAGCCTTCCACTTCCCAGCTTTATTCTCCTCCTTGCCCCACCTATACTTCCTGCCTAGCCAATGGCCAATCAGTGATTTATTTATTGACCAATCAGCAACACATTTGACATACAGACCATCCCACAGCACAGTAAAGATGGGAGGTTCTTGGTTCTAGGGACCTTGTGTTACACATGTTGTGTTGAAGAGAGAAGTGTCCTCTCTCAAAGCAGACACTAACTCATCCCAACAACTTTTTTTCCTCCAGTTTTCTGTGTTGATGTGACAGTTTGTGTGCAACAGTTTAAAAACCTTTTCAAACTTCTTAAAAAGAACCTTTTGTGACATGAGCATGATGGTTTCCTGCAGTTTCTGAGCAACCTGCAAGCAAATATTGTGCCTTTATCGAGAGGGAGCACTCACTTCAAGTTAATAAAACAAAATTCTGAGCTTACACTGTCAAGAGAGAATTTGTAGAGTTTAATCAGGTGCTGAAATGGACAAGACCATGGATTTGAAATGTCAAAGTGACATAAGGTGACAGTGAAGCCAGCACAGTCATGAAGTAGAAGATGTCCCTGAGCTTCTTGTCTGTGGGCTTCACAGAACTTGAGCTCATTTGTGAATTGTCACAAGAACACCTTTGGAGTATGGCTGTCCCTCCCTATACAACCCATCCATAAACCACAGCTTTTACTCAAGCTAGATTGGGATACAGAAAACAGTAGTCCTTGTGTTCATGCAGACCTTGGTTTCAGTTACTACCATTCATGAATCGGCCATCATCTCCTTCATCTGATCAGTGAGAATGATGCATTGAACACACATCAATGAATAAAATGACTGAGATCCTTGTGTTATGGTGCTTGCATTGTAGATGAAGCAGGTATGCAAAGCAGAAATCAACCAAGTCCATACCTGAGTACTCGACAAGGTGAATCTCTGAAGGAAAAAAACAAACCAAAATAAAGTCATGCAGTCAAGGCTAGTGATTCACCTTTGCAGACCTCCTCTCATATGCTCCAGTCATCTGGGGAAGCCCAACAAGTGAGGCAGACCTTGGCAAGTTTAGGTGCATAAAACATGTTACTACTGCTGATTGATGGTAATATGAACTTCCTGAAGGTTGAAGGCGAGCACATGAATTCCTTTCCAGTGTCTTTGAGGCTCCCTCACATCTTTGTGTCTTGTTTTCCTCTTAACCTCCAGTTCCAACGAGGGTTTCGAGTCCGTGAAGAAGGTTGCACTGCTAACATTCCTCTCAGTGGTTATCCTGATGGCCATCCTGGGCAACCTGCTGGTGATGGTGGCTGTGTGCAGGGACAGGCAGCTCAGGTGAGCAGTATGAGGGACCCTCTTAGGAAACATGGGTGTCAGAGGGATCTCCCTGAAAAGCTGGCTCTGAATAATTTCCATTTTGATTTATCACATGCATGGGAATAGGTTTTGAAAAAATAGAAAAGGGATCACACATAATCCTTCAACCCCAACACTAACATAACCATAAGAGCACCCTGGGTTAATTCCATCCTGTCTGTTTACCTGTGCCATGTTGCATTTGTTTAAATAACTGTAGTATATATATATATATATATAGTCAATATATGTGGTCAATATATATCTAGTCCTGCTACCAATGGTTCAGGGAAGACTTGGGAACTAATGATTAATCTGGGGGAATAAACACTGGATCTACCACATTTTATACATCACCAATGTCAACTCTGGCTATATTTACAATCATCTGAGATATTTTTCAAAATACTGCTGTATGATATTGGTATGTCCTGTGCAATACTGTGGAAATATTTATATTTAAAAAGTAATTCACCGTTAAAAATCCAAGTTTAATTGGCCATCCTGTATCTTATGTAGCTATCTTCGGTGGAAGAGAATGCTATCTACCCATGGTTTTTGTCTAATTGATCTGGGTTGAACCCTGGGCACTGATGCTTGCTACAATCCACCAGGTATTTCCAGTGTGTAGCCTGGACTAAGGCGCATCGGCCCATGAAGGAAGAGATGAGCTAAAGGTAGTGCCTCTCTAAGCAGGACACGCCCCGAACCAGTGACGAGGCAGAGAAAGTGCAACGCAGAGTTTTGCCTGGGGTCACACATGTAGGAGGTACATAAGAGGTCACCCTAGGAGCTGCAGGTGGTAGCTTGACACTGTCTGTGAGGGCAGCATCTTGAGAGGGCTCTCTGGGAGGGCCTAAGCCAGGACCAGAGCCAGGGTGGGCGGTGAATAGAGTAGATGGGAAAGAGCCTACTCTACTATATGGAGCCTCAGAACGGTTCTCAATACACTGGCAGCCTCTGCTAAGGCCAGAAGGGCCAGAACGCTGAGGAAAAGATGTCTTTGGGTGTGATGAGCCTGGAGAAGTCAGAAGAGGCTGGACCACGGAGAATCTCCTTGGCCGTGGTGCACAAGGGGAAACTGAGTCTTGCAGCTTATCCTTAATGTGTGACTTTTCTTTCCTTTTCTACCTCCCTTCTTTCCTTCCTTCCATTTCCCCCAATTCTTCCCCGCTTCCTTTCCACACCCCCCCCCCGCCACCTTGCTTGTACCTTTTCACTTACAGGAAAATAAAAACCAATTATTTCATTGTGTCTCTTGCCTTTGCCGATCTGCTGGTTTCGGTGCTGGTGATGCCCTTTGGTGCCATTGAGCTGGTTCAAGACATCTTGATTTATGAGGATACGTTTTGCCTGGTCCGGACCTCTCTAGATGTCCTACTCACTACAGCATCGATATTTCATCTGTGCTGCATTTCACTGGATAGGTAAGAGCAGGGCAATGTGCAGAATGGAATGCCCTTGACACCTGTGACCTAGCAGATATTACCCAGTGTCTTTCTTTCCTTCCTAACTAATCTCCCGAAATTGGTTCCAGACACAGATGTGGAAGTTCAGTGATTCTTGCACCAGGGCAGTGCTTGTGGAGGCCTTCTTCTCAGTGAGGCACTCTTAGGGATTTTGAAGAGCTAAAGGTTGCACGGTCTAGCAATTGCTTGCATAGAGTTTACTGTGTAGATAGGTATCTTCAGCCAAGTTCACTTCCAACTTAATATTGATGACAGGAACGAAATGCTAAGGGAACCAGGTGGCCAGAGTTAGTGCACGTGCCCAGGAGGCTATGAATGATCTCACTGTGTTCGGACATGACCTTCTCCTAAAATATGCCCATATAATAAGTAAGATCTAGGAAAGTGCATGTGATCATGGGGGAGTTTTTCCCTACGAAGTTAAAGTTGATAATAAAATCTCCAATAATTGCTGTTTTAAAGATTCAGCTTATCATATCCCAATGTATATTATGGGTTTTTTGTTTGTGTGTGTGTGTGTGTGTGTGTGTGTGTGTGTGTTTATACTTTAGGGTGCCTAGTGGTTGCCACCTTGGCCTCATTTGTTGGGAATGTATATTTATCAGCTCTTTCCATTCTCCGATTTCTGTTCATGTTCATGGAATAACTAATGAAAGAATATACTTTAAAAGTCATATGACTCTGAGAGTATATGTGGCTGAGGGGCTAGAACCCAGAAGAAAATGTAGGGTGAAAGTTTCATGAGCTTAGACTGCTGGGGATAACATCTCAATTTCTCTCCAGCTGTCCACAGACCTATATCCCCTGGCTTGGGAGAGATGCATTTCTTAAGTTGAGGATTTAGAAAAATAATCAGCCAAGTTAGAGGATGTTATATCTCTAAAATAGTCACCTTTAAAAAGTAAAATAATGATTTCTTTGAAAATTACTCATCTGGGGTGGGTCCTTAAGAATTAATCTGCTGTGACAACAACAGACTCACCTCTTTTCTTATGAGAGCACTGATTAGAATGACAGATGTGACAGTGACAGTCTCCTCCTCCTCCTCCTCCTCTTCTTTTTGTTTGTTAGTTTTGTTTTTCGAGACAGAGTTTCTCTGTGTAGCTCTGGTTGTCCTGGAACTTAATTTGTAGACCAGGCTGGCCTTGAACTCACAGAGATCCATCTGCCTCTGCTTCCCAAATGTTGGGATTAAAGCATTCCCCACCACAACCTGGCCAGCAAGCCTCCTCTGTTTAAATCACTTTTTTTCTGACAAGAACACAAAGTTGAGTTGCCTAGGTACTATGCATGTATAATGAGACTCCACTGCATAGATAGAGAGGTGCACAATTGAGCTGGTGGCCAACAGTAAGACCTACCATGAGTCATAATTAGAAATTTCTTCATCTTAGCTCATTTACAATCAGACATTAGTATGTGAAGGACATTTTGAAGACATTGGCTACTATATGAAATTTCATATTACAGAAAATAAAGTATGAGAAAGGAGAAAATGCAGGGAAATCCTAGAGGTTAGCCTGTATATGATCATCGCTACAACGGTCTGTGAGACTAGACATAATATAGGAACTTAGAAAAAAGCAAGGCTGGGGATAAAGGAAAGCTGCAAGTCAGTGAGATTTTTGGCAAAAGCTAGGGGAAGAAAATGAGCCATGCAGAAAATAAAAATGAGAGAAAATTCATCTCACTGCTGTAGAGAACAGACAGCCCCAAGACCAGGGCTGAAGGTCTCCCATGGGGGGTTGGCTTTAGATTTCCAGATTTAAGCTTATACTCCCTCATGAACACTTCTTCAAGTAGGCTCACACTGTAGTGATGCAGTTAAGAATTGGACACTAAAAGCCATCTGTTTTTAAATGTGAGAGATTTAACTTTAAATTTCAGCTTTGTCAGGTTTTGCCACTGAGATTGGCAGTGAGTTAATAAGACTTTCTGAGTCTCACTTTTCTTTGTCTCAAAAGAATAAAATGGAGGATAAAGAACTGATCTTGCAGGATTGCAGTCAGGAAGAAATGAGCTAAGCTGCCTGAGGGGGAGCATTGTCCACTATGACTCAGTCCTGCCGTGAGTGGAAGGTGCTACCCGAGCTAATCACCATCTGTCTTTTTGACTTCTCTCAAGACACCCGAGCATCCTCTAATTGTTCTCCTCACGCTGACTTATCCATCTATTCTCACTTATAAGATCAAACAAATGTCAGCTTTCAGCTGCAACTCTGAGCATTGCTGCTTGTCTGGGACTTTCAACAGCTGCTTGCTTTGAGATATAACCACACTGCTTGATGTAGAGAATTTTTAAATTTAATTCAATTAATTTTTAATTCAATGTAATTTATTTAGCATTTTTTATATATAAGTATTGTATTCATGGTATTTATATCCAACCATCTTCCTACTTCAACAACCCCCCATGCCCTGCTTCCACACTCCCCCCATACCCTACTGAGTCCATTTAGTGTCACTCATATGTATATGTGTTTAAGGCTAAAGACTTGGCACTGGATAACCTATCGGGGGTTCATCCCTGGAGAAGACAGATTCTCCTTCTCTCTGTAATCTTTGACTGCCTCTAGGTCTTCTGAGGATGAAGCCTTGAGATTTCCCCATCGGGGTTGGCCTGGCAATTGGTGTTATCATTATGCAGGTCTTCTTCAGTCAACGATATTATTGAGATTTCATGGATGTAGTATCTTTCTTGTCATATAAGGGAAAAAAATCTTGCAGCAGATGTCCTAGTCTTCTGGCTCTTACAGTCTCTTCACCCCCTCTTCCGCAATGTACCCAGAGCCTTAAGTGTAGAGGTTATATTTTACATCTATCTATTGGGGTCGGATCCCTATGACCTGTGAGTTCTCTACATCTTAATCAGTTGTTGATTTCTTAATTTTTCCTATCTGCTGCAAAATGAAGCTTCTCTGATGAAAGGTGAAAGCTCCAGTTATCTGCAGATATAAGGGTAGCATTTAGAATGCAGTTAGATATTTTACAGGGTTTAGGAAAGTAGCAGCAGTAGGTTCTCTTTTAGAGTCCAATAGTTGGCCTACCCTGGGTAGTTGAGTACGTTTACAATCCCAGCATGGATTCTCTCTTATTGAGTAGGCTGTAAGTCCAATTAGACGGTTAATTAGATGGCTGTTGTTCACCCCTGAGATGCATCACTCTTGGACCTTTGGCCTTTGTGGTGGCACATAGGCTTTACATTGGGTAGGAATGTTGTTCTGCCTTGGTAGATACATAGCACTTTCTGATACCATGAGAGTCATTCCTCAGGGAAGAAGCTTCTGTATCATATCCAGTTTGTCTCCTGTGTTTGAAGTAGGCAGTGTTTTCAGCAACAGGGTTTTACCTTCAAGTTTTGGGAGGAAACCAAGGTCAATGGTAATAGCTTGTTTTGTTTTTTAGTAGTCTCTTGACTACCCTGACCAACAACTTGAAGGGAAGTTTTCCATGCCTGGCACTTGGGTTTATCAGGTAGTCTATAGCTCTTGGAGAGAACATTATTACTGCTAATGGTATAACTTCATTTAAATGATAAGTGTGTTACATGTATTACATGTAAATTTGAAGTAAACATAAAATAATGCTTTCCTATAGCTTTTTCAATTATTTTTGTGCTATTTATCCTTCTCCTCTCCACAATTAAAATTTCCCCCTATTTTTCCTATTTCTCCCTTATTGCACCAGTGTCCTAATATCCCTCTGTATACAATATTTTCATCAAATCTTCAAGAATTTCATGCCATGTATTTTGATCTTATTCACCCCCAACTCTTCATCCTAGCTCCTCCTAGATCTACCCTTACCTCTCAAATTTATGTCCTCCCTGAAAATAGCCTATCACCTCCAATTTGTGTGGCTCATGTACTCCTAAGTGTGGGCCAAGCACTGGAGCACAGTCTACCCACCGGGAGCCATGCCCTTAAAGAAAACTGACTCCTCTTCCTGAGGAGTCATCCACTGTCCATAGCTCCTCAGCTAAGTGTGGAGGCACATTGTCCCACTCGGTGCTGGAATGTTGACTGAATTGATGCTGTGCATGCCCTGTGCAGGCAAACCAAGCTGCTTTGAGTTCACGAATGCACTGGTCCTGTCATGTCCCAAAGAATTGACTTTTCTCTGGTCTTCTCTAATCTCTGGTTCTTACAATCTTTCTGCCTCCTTTTTTTGCTATAAAAGAATCGACTTTTCTCTGGTCTTCTCTAATCTCTGGTTCTTACAATCTTTCTGCCTCCTTTTTTGCTATGGTATCTGACCCTTGCTGTCTCTCTGTGTGGGGGAGCAATCTAGATGTTTCGTTTGTGGCTGAACACACCACTGACACTTCCTCTCGGCACTTTGACCAGTTGTGAGTTTGTGTGCTAATCACCATCCACTGCACAAAGAAACTTTTCTGATCAGGTACGAGAGTGGCAATAATTGATGAGTATAGATGGGCTTCACTGTCTGTTTCCTGTCTCTGTCCCACGTTTCCCTTCAGAGCCTTCACCAGCCCTGCCTCTCGGCTCTGACCACCTTGACCTTTCTTTTCTTCTGTTGTTTTCCAGGCATCGGCTCCTCTCTGTGCCTGGAAAGCTCCTTTGCCCTCTGTGTGACTCTCGGGTTTTAGCTCAGTCACATACCCCTGCAGCAGAAGTCATCTCGGACTTCTGGACATCTCCTTGGACACATTCCTTGGAGAACTCATTGCATTTTTTATTAAATGCAGTTCTGCAATTTCTCCCACAAAGTATTTTTTTTTTCTCCCTTGTGGGAAGAAGCTCTGCAATATGAACAAGGATCAGAGAGTGTTTGTGGAATCTGTGGAATTTGCACTTAATGACAATTTTGACAATTAAACAGTAGTTACACATCAATATTTATTTAGGTATTTGGCAAATTTTTATTTTCTTTCCCCTAAGTGGACATCAGAAACTTGAACTCCACAAAGAAGATGAGACTAGACAGTTTTTGTCTTGT